CGGTCTTCAGTTTGCCCAAATCCCAACTATATTGCGCATTTCTTCATTTCAATTCTTCGTTTCTTTTCTCATTTCTTCATTGCATTTTCACTGAGAACTGGTACAATTGCAACTAACTTAATGAAAGCGCAATCTCATGTCATTAACACAGTATAATGCAACTGTTTATAGTATCCATCGAGATAGAATTGGAAAATAATGAATTCTCCAAAGTCGGTTCTTGCGTAAATCTTTGCATAGGGTATTGCTGCTATGACAACTTCTGCTTCTCCTCCTTCCTCTAAAAATGATGTTCTTAGCAAGATGAACTTCGGAATTTCGTACAAAACCGCAATTACAAGAGCGAAAATGATTGAGAGGAAGAGAATGACGTCAATAGAATGATACTGTGTCCAACTTAATTTTATTCCAGCTGGCGCAAGTTGTCAAGCGTTTTGAAATCTGCTAAGCATTCCGTCCATTTCATCAACACTTCCTTAGGTGAGACTGGCTGTTTCCGAGCCATTTCAGAAAGCCTTTTCACTGTTGAACTATATCTGAATAAAGCAATTTATTCAAATTTAGATGAGGTGGATAGTTAGCAGTATCATAATTCGCTTAAAATAGCCACCTCTTGTTTTCCAGCACCTCCCAAATCGCCACTGTAACTCTTTCTTCATTGATCTCTGATTTCTTCAGTGTTACAGAAATTCCCAACTTTTCTATAACTTTTGAGTTTTTAGGTTGGTCTCCAAACAGTGCCAAAGCGATCATTGCAATGATAGCGTGGATTGACTCCTAAACTAGTCTTCTGCCTTTATTCAATAATAAAACTATATATTTAACGTTTAATATGTTACTTCAACACTGTTGTAGCCTCCATGGGTGACAAACGCTTTTGTTTTAGAATGATGTAAGAGTTCCCGTTAAAAACCATTCGAACAGGTGTATATTATTTCCATACCCGCAAATTGGGGAAAAAGTGCGTGTTGCTGTCCTTTGTACAGTACTTACCACTGTTTGATATTAGCAATGCTTATTATGAGAACAGACTTTGTCGGGTTGTTTTTATGTAGTTTGGCACAATGAAGCATGCTGTAATTCTATAATGCCACATGTACGCATTATTCTCCCTTCATTTCTAGCAAGTAAAAGGCTGGAGTTTTAGACTCCCGACTGCACTAAAATTTAGCTCTCCATAACAACAACTACTTTGAGCCTCAGCTCCTCTCAGAGTCCAACGTGATCCAGATTATAAGGCTTAAATTTTTGGAAAATTTTAAAGTAAGGTACAGCATGTTTCATCTTCTGTTTGCGGACAGCACAGTATTTGATACGATTATCCACCAAGCTGCGCTTGACATGATCATCTTTAACAGTTTTCTAGAAGTCGTGGTGGGCTACAACAATAAAAAGGTGGGAATATTGAGTATGTTTTTGA